AACAAGCAAAAAACTAATCACCCACTGACATTCCAAGGCATTATCAAGCCTTGGCAGGGGGTGCCTGGCGCCAGGAGCGGCATGGCAGGCAGACTGGGCCAGAAGCAGTCAGCCTGTCACAGATGGCGGTCAACACCTTGCGAGCCTGGTGGGGTCAGCCCAGCACAGTACAGTGGAAAGCCCTCAGCGTGGAGCGACTGCAGGCTATAAGACGACTATAATTTATATCTTTTAACTTTATTTATTTTCCTAATATATACCATGAAGAACTGTAATGTAGGACTTTTAGCTTTTTTCTTTATTTCTCTATTTTTGTACCTAATCTATTTTAGTACCTAAGACTGGTAACTAGATACTTCGTACCTAAGATGGCACCGTGTGTGGCAACATGGTACATTTTTCACTGTATTCTTGCACGTTTGTACTTGAGTACACATGACAATAAACTCAATTCTAATTCTACCACTGAACTCCCCACTGTCAACATCCTGAGGACTACCACTGAGCAGAGACTAAACTGGACCAGCCAGAGAAATAATATAGCCACAAAACATGTCAGAGGCCATAAATTCTCTGGCTAGTAACTCACCTTCAGTCTTTCTGTGGGAACACCACCACAAACAACTTCTCCATGTTGCACATTATCTTGACTTAAAACTATCTTACCATTCCTTCACTGTTGCTGGAATAAAATCCTGGAACTCCATTCCTAACAAGATTGTGCACGTAACAGTTCCAGTAGTCAGGTCACCACCATCACCTTCTCCAAGATGATTACAGATGGTCAATGACTACTGACCTAAGCAGCAACACCAACATGAACAAACAGGAGAAAAGAATAGCTCTTTCAAAGGACCAAAGATTTGGCAAGATGGCCAAAGTACAGTTCTGTTATTTCCGTAAGTGTCTTTCCCTCCCAACTAGAAAGATACACATTTGACTTCCTTCTTCTCATAAGATCACAACAAATAGGAACATTAGGCCTTTTGACCAATCTACTATTCTTTGCCATTCAGTGAGATCATGGCAGATCAGATTGTGGCCTTAGAAGCAATTTTATGCCTGTTCTTCCTAACCATCAACTTGTTTGTCAATCAAAAATCCTGTCTGACTCAGTCTTAAATATATTCAATGGTTGTCTCCTATACATTCAGGCAAAGAATATCTACAAGATTAATTACCCTTAGAAGAAATTCCCCATCATGTTTTAAATGGGAAACTCCTTATTTTAAAAAATTGTGCCTCCCAATTCTAGATTTGGAGGGAAACATCATCTCAACATTTAAACTGTCAAACCCCTCAATATCTAGATTTCATTAAGATCATTCATCATTCTTCTAAACTCCAACAAACACACACCTGACATGCGCAATTAAGCCTTTATATGACAGGCCCCTCATCTCATGAATCAGCCTAGTGAACCCTGTCTGAACTACTTCCAATGTAAGTATCCTTAAAATTCTGGTATTCTAGACAGACTCCAACACATTTTACAGCTTTCTTTTCTTTATTCATTCCGGGATGAGGACATCGCTGGCTAGACAGCATTTATTGCCCATCCCTAATTTCCCAGAGGGCACTTGAGTCAACCACATTGCTGTGGGTCTGGAGTCACATGTAGGCCAGACCAGGTAAGGATGGCAGTTTCCTTTCCTAAAGGACATTAGTGATCCATTAATGATCCAGCTGTAGCAAGACATCTCCACTCATTCTTCATCGCCATTGTACTGTACCAACTTTTTTGCTGGCTAAGTACAAGGCCACCCAGATCCCTTTGTTTAGCAATGTTCTGCAATCTGTCTCCATTAAAACAGCTTCTTTGTGGCACTTCCCCAACTGAAATATTTATGTTTAAAGTCCTCTATTATGATTCATCAGAACACTGGTCCCAGCACTATTTAGGCAGAGGCCATTGAGAACAATACAACTCCCTCTTTTGCTAGTACTGGTGTCACTAACCCATGAATCAGAATCCATTTCTCCCACACCAATCTATGAACTGCACATTCAACTGGCTGGTCTTATTGACTATCAATTTGCTCCGTAGTAATATGGAGGTTTGCAATAACTGTCCTCTCACATCACCTACATAGGATCAATTCTCTATTTATGCTCCATTCATACATACAGATCCAAATTATTTCTCTCAACCTCCTGTATCCATACTGGTCATGTGATGTCAAGTCTTACTTGTGCTTCAACATCCAACCTTAACGCTCAGCACATCCTTACTGCCACTTTTCTCCCCAGCCACCTCCGAAAGTGAGTTACAACCTCCAATGCAGCAATGACTGCCATAAAACTCTGATGAAGTGCTAACAATCACACTTAAATATTGGCAGTTAAGATCAGATGCAGCCCAGTGTTCAAATTCTATCCTGAAAAAAAAACCTTACCAGAAGTTAGGTGCTTTTCACCTAAATATCCTGTGGATTAAACAGCCTTTGTCCCTGCTACCATCTTAGATCTAGCAGGTCTCTACAACTTTCAAGTAACAAGATGGATTCATGAGGAAAAAAAAAGTTTGGGAAGCAGAGCTTAGGCTGAACAAAAAAAAGTTCATATTTCAATTCCCCGTCATCAGTTACACAATCTTTAAAACTCTCCACAGCCTTGCAACATTATACCTCTGTACCTACTTGTCAGGCTCTCCTGAATTTTTATCCACTATCTAATCTTGAATAGATCACAATTTTTAGCCACATACACAATAAACCTCTCTGCATCTACTTCTTTCCTTCTCAATATTACCTTTTAAAATACCTTTCAATTAGCTCCACTCATCTCTCTGATACACTTTAGTGGTCTGTTCTACATCCTATTTCTGTTTCAATATAGACGTTCTGTTTATTAGATACGACATGGCTACACCCATTTTCAGCTCAGATATAGAAAAGAAACAAAGAACCTTAAAAATTAGATAACTGCAACTGGATAATAGTAGTGACAGGCGAAAGGAGACATAAGTTAGCAAAAGACATTGCATTCTCAGAAAAATTAAAGTCACAACTATACTTTACAGAAAGTATAGAAATGTCTAGAAGATCAATAGAAAAGTAGTCAAAAAGGCTAAGAAATTTGGGAATTTACAAGTGAGCAGAGAAAAATATAAATGCTTAATCATATTACTAAGCCTTAGCATATGTCAGGTGTCACCCCAGGACTACGTGTGCCTTAATATTTGGCCCCTCAAACCTGCCGTGACATTAAGATTATAGTTGATTTGTTCACATCAAATCCACATTCTCAACTACCCACAATAATCTTCAATTACCCTGCTCAAAAATATTTATAACTTTGCCTTACAAATATTTAGTGACCCTGTTTCCAAAGGAAGACTTCCAAAATCTCACAACGCTAAAAAATTCTCAAACATCCTAAAAACGTTTTCTTTTAAAGGAAATGTATTGGACTCATGCAAAGAGGAAACATCCATCCTTCTAAGACCACTCAGGATCTTTAATGCTTCAATCAAGTTATCAGTCCTCTTAAACTCAAGTGGAAACAAGCCAGCCTGTTCAAATCATCCTCAAAAAACAATCCATTCATTACAGTTATTAATGTAGTAAACCTTCTCATCAGTTCCAATGCATTTACATTCTTCATCAAATAAGGAGACCAAAACTGCACACAGTACAAGATGGTGTCTCATTAATGTTCTATATAACTCAAGCGTACCATCTTTGCTTTTACGTTCCATTCCTATTATAATAACGGACAACAGGCCATTAGTGTTCTTGATTACACACTGTACCTGTATGTTAATTTTGGAACTTGTGCATCAGAATACCGGAGTTCCTCTGCTCCTCAGAATTCTACAATCATTCTTATTTAAGTAATACTTTGCTTTTTCATTCTTGCTGCCAAAGTGAACAATTTCACAATTTCCTAATAGCCTTTTGCCCAATTACTGAACCTATCTACAATCATATGTCTTCTACACCATATACTTTCCTACCTATCGTGGCATCATCTGCAAATTTATCTATAACATTCCCCCCATCCAAGTGATTGCTGCATACTGTAAAAAGTTGAGACCCCAACTCAGACCACTCCAAAACTCCACTCACCACATCCTACCAGACTCATTCATACCTACTGTTTTCTGCCAGTCAATAATAATCTTTGATGGAAAGGTGGTAACACGTTCAAAATTGTTTTATGTCCAATATGTCCTAAAGGTAAGCATGTCTGGGGTGTTGCTGTGGATAACAAATTATGAAAATAATTTCCTAAACACACGCAACCCCACATTTTAGTCTTCCATTTCGTCAGGTGTAAAAGCTTTCTTTTCATTCAATATGAAACAATGAGACCGTAATGTTGTTTTCTGTTCTTGTTGGACGTGTCGAGGAGGCAAATGGCTTCTCGTAAACTAGAACTCCACGTTGAGCTTTCATCTGCACGAATTCGCACTTCCTTTTGGTTTAAAAAAAAGTGACGTGAAGGTGAAACAAACATTGGATGCGGTCCAATAAATAACTTCGCTTCCCCATCCCAGTGCGCTTCCTTGGTCAGGACAAATGCAGTTGTGTCTACGGTGTCATACTTATAAAGATAATGGAGTCGGCGGCCCGTGAATGTCTCAAAGACTGGGAAGGCATTTACGATTGTGTGTTTACTGTGAACGTGGCATTGGCTAACCGGACAAGTTACAAAAAAGTAACAAATTTACAAGAGATAAAGAACAACCAGTTTCAAGACTAAATTAAAGCCAAAGGGTGATGAGGTGGAACTGTGTGTACAAATAGGAAGTCTTCCCCACCAGCCTCCGGCCTCACAATAATTTATCGTCACGAACCCCAAAAATATTGACGAGTCCAAACCGCCATTTAACGGCGTCGAGAGACGGCACTCCGCCTCCCGCGGCTCTCCAGAACATGGCACGTGGTTTAAGGGTTTTCGACTTGTATCAAAACAGAAGTTAACCAACATATTATGGCAACCACCTAGTGAACATGGAGACTGATCGCGAGTTATTTCCCGCCTGTTTCTTTTACCATTTCAGCCATGTTCCTCAACAACAGCCTTCCAACAACCAAGACGTTCGGCGAGAGGCGCCTCCGCCGCGCCTACTATTTATACGCTGCATCCACTCAACACCATCCAGCAGGGGTACCCCAAGGGCTTTTACCAAATCATCGGAAGATTAATAACTGTTTACCGTCTCTGCAACTAGTCACTGCACTCGTAATCATTATGAAAATTCGCTACAAAGTGAAACACTATCACATCGATTCAAAATGCCAACTGTTTAAAAAAAGTGTCTGTTGCCAATGTGTCCCGTCCAGGCAGACGATGGTCGAGTCCAAGCTAGCCCGCTCTTTAAGTCGGCAGGCGCGTGAAGTGAAGCTGGAATTTGAAGGCCGCCATTTTGTTTAATGAAGAACCGTTTAACGGACAAAATGTTTAAAGTTGGAGAGGGAGAGGGAGAGGGAGAGAGGGAAATAAAGTGTTCAGTTACCAACACTGGACTCTCAGTTCCTGGAATGGGGTTGCGAATTAATTGGATCACCCTTGTTTCCTTATTTCAATGTCGGAAATCATAAAGATTGAAACTATCCCGCTGCGATAAAATACAGAATCATAAAACATATATTTCGAGATGAGATATAAACGTGTCTATACGATGTTACATGTCGGTCTAATTTGAAGAGGGGGGTCACTGATAGTTCTGAACTTTCCGCCGTGCTTTTTGTAGATCATGTAGATTTATCGCGACAGCAGCTCAATTTGTAGAGTTTGAACTTATCAGAATAGCCGAAGAGTGACAGGGTTTGTGAGAACTGCAACAGTACCTAAAATCGATTAAAGCGAAAAACCTTGATGTTGGAAGTTGCTATCAAAACAGAAGATGTTGACAGCAGATCGGGGCAGAGAGGCAAAAGTTATCATTTTATGTCGACGACGACCTATCTGTGCATTTTTTGGAAAATTTGACGCCATTGGCAGAAAATATTTGCTAGAATGACTCCGTTGAAAGGCTAGGGTTATTCTATTTATAGAAGAAAAGTGTGAGAATTCTTTAAAATCATGAGAGTGTAGACAAAGTTGGTTGAGAAAACTTCGTATTAGTAGAAGGCTCCAGAATCCCTGACAGAAAGTGAATCGCAAAGAACAAAAGAGGCATTAGGAAAACCTATTATATCCGACAAATGGCTAAGATTGAAAGGTGCACTGCTTGAACGGTAGAGGCGAATCCAATTGTGATTTTCAACTGAAATAAAATGAGGGCTATAGAAAAAAGATATGAGAATAGGCTTGCTGAGTTTTTCTAAGACAGAGCACGAACAGGCCAAACATCTTTTATTCTGTGTTGCAATCATTTTCTGATTCTACGTGTCTCGCTTAAATTATAATCGTAACAGACTTTCAGATTAATTGAAAGGCAGAGCAGTTTAGGCATGATAGAGTGAGTCAAAAATAGATGGAATTGGGACCAGCATACAATCAAAAGATGAGTCTAGAGGAGGTATAAATGACAAAAGCAGAATCATTACCAACAGATGTGTCTGAAAAAAATGTGAATAATGTTATAAACTGAAATCGATTAAGTCAATATCGAATTGAGATGTCTATGAAGTGCCTTATCAAATGATGAAATGTTGTTTCTAAAGCTTCTATTGAACTTCATTTTGAGTTAAAAACAAAATATGAAGATCCTCTATATCTGGCAGAAAATGTAAAAAAAAAGATTATAGAGCCAATTTTGTCTGATGCCAAACCCTTTTTTCATTTGCTAGCTTCCTTCTTCTCAGAGACCTTCCTATTTGTCCATTTCTCCCCTCCTCCATATACCTACTTCTGAATTTTTTTTAAACCCATTACATCTCTAATATTACGTCAGCTTTCCTGCTCTGATGGTGCTTGGCCTGCTGTGTTCATCCAGCTCTACACCGTGTTATCTCACATCTCTAATATTTTCCAGTTGTAATGAAAGGTCATCAACCTGAAACATTAACTTTGTTTCCTCTCTCCACAGATTGTGTTTGGCCTTCTCAACAGTTTCTAAATATTAGTCAGTTTAGCTACAACTTGACTTTCACCATTTGTTGAATCTTTGCACTCAACCTTCCTCATGTTGAAATTCATGCAAGTCCCAAGCCTTCAGTAAATGCTAATTACCCACCTGGATAGTGTACTTGCCTAATTTTCCTGATAACTCTGTGATTAGTCTGTTATTACGCTGTTATAAATATTGTTGTTTTCTAGGTGTGCTGAATAAATTTTTGACACTGTTGTCAGCCTACCATTCTTGATCATGAAGCTTAAAGTAAATTTATAATTCTCCGTGTTTCACATTACAGACTGCATGAAAGAAACCATTAAATTGTAAACACCAGTTATAACATACAAACTTCTTAAAATTTCAAGTACTGCAGCATTTGGTTGTATTTTAGAGGAAAAGAGGTTATGATCTCTTTGTAAGGAAAAGATTAAGGACTGATACGTGCGTGTGTGTCTGAACACCAAGGCAGAAAACTCAGTCGTCAGGAAAAAGTATTGACCAAAAAGAGTTTGATTGAGACTGAATTGAACATACTGTTCATTGCAAATGTGATAAAGTGCTTAGACTTTTCATATTGAACTAATCAAAACCCATTTGGCACTTCGCATGACAATGAAGTTGGTCACACACTTTATTGTACAATGTGACCTAATAACAGGATTCTGCATGAGATCTTTGAAAGATAATTAAAAATAACTAAAGATAAAGATGCATACACAATAGATAAAATCTGGAAATTCCCTAGGCAATGTGATGGTAAAAGAAAGATCCAAGATGTCAGGGAAATCCCAGTGTATCAAGTCAAGAAGATCTCACCTAAGAACACTTTTAAGTGACGTGCAGTCAAGTCAGGCTGACCATCTGAGGTGTAGCTAGAGAATATTAAAATTGTTTGCATATTGGTCCTGTGAGGATGAGAGATAAGGATGGCAAGAGATATTGGATGTTGAGTCAAAAAAAGGAAACAAATGTAAGGTTTAGGAAACTGAAATCAGGTAAGGCCCTTGAGGAATATAAAGGAAGCAGAAAAGACTTAAGGAATTAGGAGGTCTAAAAGGGGCAATGAAATGTCCTTGGCAAGCAGGATTAAGGAGAATCCCAAAATATATTTGTACATATATTAGGAGCAAGAAGGCAGCTAGGGAAAGGGTAGATCTGCTCAAGGAGCAAGAAAGGAATTTATACGTGGAACCTGAGGAAATGAGTGAGGACCTTAATGAGTACTTTGGTATTCGTCAAGGACAAGGATCTGGATGATGGTAAAATTAAGGAGGGATATGTTGATATTCTGGTATTAAGGAGGTGGTGTTGGGTGTCTTGAAAAGCATTAAGATTGTTTAGTCCTCAGGGTCTGATGGGATCCATCCTGAGATAACGAGAGAGACAAGGGTGGAAATTGCTGGGGCCTTGACAGAGATCTTTGTATCTTGTTTTAACAACAGTTGAAGTCCCAGAAAACTGGAACCAATGTTGTTACTTTGTTTAAGAAGGGCAACAGGCATAATCCAGGAAATTATATGCTGGTGAGCCTAATCAGTGGTAAGGAAATTACTGGAGAAGATTCCTATGGACAGGATTTACACACATTTGGAAAAGTGACTTATTTGGGATAGTCTGCATGGCTTTGTTTGTGGAGATGCCTTGTCCCACGAATTGGTAGAGTTCTTGAGGAAGTGATGAAAATGACTGATGAGGGTAGGGCAGTGGATGTTGTCTACATGGACTTTAATAAAGCATTTGATAAGGTCTCCCATGATAGGCTGGTCCAGACAACTAAGTCACGTGGTATCCACAGTGAGTTGATAAAAAATACAAAATTGGCATAGTCATAAAAGACAGTATAGTTGTGGAGTGTTGTTTTTTGGACAGGACGTCTGTGACCGCTGGTGTTTTATAAAGACCAGTGCTGGGACTTCTGTTTGTAATGTGTATAAATGATTTGGATGAAAATGTAGGCAGTCCAATTTGTAAGTTTGCAGACAAGAGGAAAATTGGTGGGGTTTTGGATAGTAAGAAAAGTTGTTAAATGATATAAATCAGTTGGAAAGTTGGGCCAAGAAATGGCAGATGGGGTGTAAGTCAGACAAGTGTAAGTTGTGATGTATTTTTGGAGGTCAAATACATGGGGAAAGTATACAGCAAATGGCAGGATGCTTAGGAGCATTGATATATTAAGAGATCTTGGGGTCCCAAGTCCATAGCTCCCTGAAAGTTGCAACACAAGTGGATAAGGTGGTAAAGAAGGCATATGGCATGCTTGCCTTCATGGTTCAGTGTATTAGGTATAAAAGTAGGCAAGTCATGTTGCAACTGTGTAAAACTTTAATTAAACCACATTTGGAATATTGTGTGCAGTTCTTGTCTCCACACTATAGGAAGAATGTGGAGGCTTGGGAGAGGGTACAAAAGAAGTTGCCTGGATTGGAGTTTATTAACTACAAGTAAAGGCTGGACAAAACCTGGATTGTTTTCATTAGAGCGTTGGAGGCTGTGGCGTGACCTGATGGAGGTATTTATTGTCATGACAGGCGTGGATAGGGTGGATAGTGGGAGTCTTTTTCCCAGGGTAGAAATGTCAAATATTAGGGTGCATAGTTTTAAAGTGAGAGGGGGAAACTTTAAAGAAGATGCACGAGGCAAGTGTTTTAAAAAGAGGGATAGTAAGAACTGCCGATGCTGGAGTATGAGATAACAAGGTGTGGAGCTGGAGGAGCACAGCAGGCCAGGCAGCATCAGACGAGCAGGAAAGCTGATGTTTCGGGTCAGGACCCTTCTTCAGAAATGGGGGTGGGGAAGGAGGCTCTGAAATAAATAGAGAGACGGGGAGTGGTGATAGCAGGTGGATAGTGGAGCAGATAGGTGGGAGAGAAGACGGACAGGTCAAAGAGGCAGGGATGAAGCTAATAAAGGTGAGTGTATGTAGGAAGTGGGGATGGGATTGGTCAGTGAGGAGGGAGGGGCGGATAGGTGGGAGAGAAGACGGACAGGTCAAGGAGGCAGGGATGAGAAGGGAGGTTGGTCTTGGGATGAGGTCAGGGGTGGAGAGATTTTGAAGCTAGTAAAGTCCACATTGAGACCATTGAGTTGTAGGC